TGACACATATATATATATATATATATATATATATATGAAACGATAATAGAAAATATTTACTTAAACCAAATAGTTGTGTAATACCTTTTTTTGTCTACAAAGTATCAATTGCCAATGATAGCTACCAAATCTGCCACCCCCGAAAAAAGGTCTCACTTAATTTATTTCTCATAAGTATAAAAATATCATTTTAATTTAAAAATTATTAAATAAATTTATTTTAATTTTAATTTTTAACATGATCAAATGATACTCATTTTAATAGTACAAATTATAGTGGCTGACATTTAATAATTTTGAGGAATAAAATTATATTTTTTAATTTTCATCTACTAAAACTATCAATATAAATTTATTTTGGTCTTTAATCAAGTAAATTTAATTATTATAATGAGAAGAGAAAAATAAGTAAAAATTTATAACACATTATTTTAGGGATGATAAAATGGACTAATCCATTTATTTGGATTCATCTTGTCACCAATCAATTAAAAGTGGGTTGAGTTAACCTACCAATTAAAAGTGGATTGGACACCTTGTTCAACCCACCTTAGGGTGAGTTGGTGGGCTAACCTACAAAAAATTGGGAAAAAAAACTAATAAAAATAAGAAAAATGGAAAAAAGAGAAAAATATATTTTTGTCAGGCTAAATTATATTTTTTTTTATCATTTATCTTTTTTTTTTAATTTATCTTGATCTTTTATCTTTTAAAATATCCATTTTAGTTCTTTATCTCCTAAATTTAGGTTAATTTAGTCCCTTTTAATAATTTTTGATTGATTTAAGATTTAAAATTTGTTTCATAAGATTCACTTATATGAAAACTCTTTAATGTAATTGAAGTTTAAACCAACTATGTTTAAACATGGTGAAAATAAAAAATTTCAAAAAATCTAATTTCATAACTTTCACATAAAAAATCTAATGTTAAAAATTTTACGTTTTGAATCAATAAAAACTTAATTCAAAATTATGAAGAAAATAAAAAAATATCATAGTTTTGAAAAGGCCAAATTGATTGAAATATTGAAAATAAAGAACCAAAATAAATATTTTAATAGATAAAAAACTAAAATGAATCTAAAAAATGAGATAAATAACCAAAAGTATAATTTAATTTTTATTTTACAAAATTAATTTAAATAGACAAATTTACTTAAAAGATGTAAAGTATATTAATAATTTAATCTACATTTCATTTGAACTTTAGTTTCTTTATTTGTATAAAAGAAATTAAATTTATAATAATAATAATAATAACAACAAATATATATTTTGTTTTTTTTTAAATTAAATCTTAAAAAAATTACATTGTAAACACTTTAAACTTAAATTTTAAATATATTTTTTCATTTTCTATATATATATATAGAGAGAGAGAGAGAGAGAAAGAAAGAGGGAGGGAGAAAAGGGGGGAGGAGGGAACTAATTTACTCTAAGAGTGTATTTGGTATACAAAATATTTGTACATTCTTGAGAATCTTAAATTAAGAATCTTGGTTTTTTATATTTGATAGCTATTTTTAAAATAAAAAGAAAAAAGATTCCCAAGAATGTAGTTTTCTATGAACCATTTTTATCCCATTTTTCTACAAAAAAAAAAATTCCCATGAAAGGATGGTAGGAATCCAATTTTCCCAAGCTAGAGGAAAAATTTTATGTATATAAAATATCACATGTTCTCTTTTTAAAATAAAAAATCCCTCTCTCCTTCTAATTTCTCTTTCACTTTTTCACTACCAAATGTGACACCCTCTAGTCTACATGCATAATTAAATAAATATAATTATTATAAAAATGAAATATTGCACTTGAATATAACTTCGGTAAAGAGTATCACATTTGAAATTCAAATAAAACTAAATCAAAAACATAGTCATTACAAATATAAAAGAAGATATGTTTCAAGGAAAGTAAACTACAATTCATAAAGCATGAACATAAATCAAGATCATTGGTATCAGAGTTATCCCTTCAATCAACTACTCCTCCGAAAAGAAAGCCTCCTATAATCACATATAAAACATTCACAGTTGTGAGCACAAATCTCACTCCAACTACCGTAAAATAAGGCTAGATAGTCACACACAAATAATATATAAAACAAATAATCATATTTCTCATCAATACATATTTTCACGCCTAGTGAGACAATCCATACCAGCATGGTCAAAAACAAGCATTTGGTGGTTCCCATGCCCAACAATCTCAAGTTGTCGCCCATTGTGGTATTAGTAAAACATGATTTGCATAATTTGCAAATTTACAAATATGAAAGTTCTACAATTTCTATAATTTTTAACTTGTTAAAAAGGTATCTAAGGTCTAATTATTCTAAGTTTTCAGTCATGCAATTACTAATATTTCAAATTCACTCATACTCAAGGGTTTAGATACATCCATAGGATTCCCTAAAAATCCACAGACACTTATAGATTCATAATTACATATAAGTCTCTCTCTCTCTCTCTCTCTCTCTTTCTCTCCTTTTATTTCTCCTCCTCCTTTCTCTGTATTATTCTCATTCTTACTCTCACTCCCTCTATCCTCCTCTCTCTCCTTCTCCTCCCTCCCATGTCGTCTCTATTTCTCTCTCTCTCTCTCTCTCTCTCTCTCTCTCTCTCTCTTTCTTATATCTTATTATTTATTCATCTTGTCAATTTTAATAATAATATATTTTTTGTTTCTACAATTTAATGGTATTTGTTTCTCTACCAAATGCCTATCTCCTAAAAGTAAGTCTATCTAGACTTACTTTACTAAATAACTCATATTCTAAATCAAATTTTAATAATGCAACAGTGAAATTAAAAATTTTTAATGTATAGATTAAATCTACAAATTTTTTAAAAACTTAAAAATAATTTGATATTTTATTTCATTGATTCAATTTAACATATAATCATAATAAGCATTTTATACATTAATTGAATTTATATAATAAGTATTAAATAATTTTCATTTTTTTTTTAATTTTTAAACTTGATATATACATTAAAAACTTTTAATTCAAAGACTGAATAGTTGAAATTAGATATAAAACGTGAATCACTACATGGAATAAGTCCAATTAAAGTTCCTCTTAAAGTAAATTAATACATAAAAATATTGAAAACAACTTTTTCTTATTTTCAGTTTTAGGAATTTTATTTTAAATTCTAGATTAATTTTTTCCCTCAAATATGGCAATAATGTAATTTTCATCCTTTAAGCTTTAGTGGAGTGAATTAGATTCTTTTAAGTAGAGGAATTGGGTACTTTTTTTTTCTTTCAAGAGACTTTTAGTATAACAAAATCTTTAAAAATTATTTAAATTTGTTTGAATGGTCATAAATATTTAAAAAATATTTATAAATGTTATTTAAAAATTAATTTTTTTTACTATATAAACTATGCAAAATAAGGTAATGCAATACTCTTATTGTAATAAAAAAGAAAGTTAAATTAATTTGTTAGTTTCAATAGCTTTTTCAAAATTTTAATTAGATTTCTATAGTTAAAAATACTCTAACTATATATATTCGGCATATGTAAATAACTATTTTAAAATAATCTCATTTAACATAATTATATTGATTTATATAAAGAAAATATATAATATTTAAATTAATCAGCATTTTAGCCTATTTAATACATATGATAAATGCTCATTTTATATAATTGTGATTTATAATAAATAATTATTTTAAATATTTAAATTATAAAATAAATAAATAAATAAATATTTTCAACATATAATTGATATTTTAGATTTATAATTAAAAGCATTTAAAACACAAGAAATTAAAAGGGTAATTAACATATTAAAAAATTATTAAAATATCCAATCAACATAAGTTAATGAAATTTTAACGGTATTAGTGGATGAACGATTTAATTACAAGTTTTTTAAATTATAAAATCTTTCCATAGCATTCCTAACTATAGAAACCTCATTAAATTTTTTAAAAAAATTATAAAGACTTACATATTAATTTAACCTGAAAATAAACTTACCTTTTAACTTATTAGGAATTAATGAGAAATCTATATAAAATATTGTTGGGAAAACATGTTTACTATAAATGTTTTTTAAAATAATAAATTAAATATAAAAAACTAACATTCTTAATTTTATATTTAAGAAGAAATAAAAACTTATTACATACCAAACAATTTTTGTTGATGTGATATTTATGAATGACATGACACTCATTAGGTGAATGACACAAACGTTAGCATATATGACATGATAATGTTCCATATAAAAATAAAATTAAAAATGCTATTGTATGTTTATTATGTAACCTGTATTTTTTTTTATTTAGATTTTTTTTCTAATCTTTCCATATCACTTTACTAGCCATGCAATTATATTATTCCCACCAATTTTTTTATGTAACACATATTTATAACATTATTTTTCTCTACCTTAATTAATTTCTATCATATTAACTTTTTATATTTATTTTATTTTTTTATTTTTTTCTTCTTATTTTTCTCTTGTAACATCCTTTTTTTTATAAAATATAATATAAGTACTTTTATTAATAAGTTTGGTGTTTTTATTTTATTAATAAGGATTATTTAATATTTATTTAATCATGCAATATGTTTTTGAATATATTATATGATATTTTATTAAAGAGGGAAAGAATTTGTAACTAATGTTAGTATGCTTTAACTAAAGGGTTAAAGAGACATCAGATTTTAAAAGAGGAGGTTTTAGGTCAAACCCTTTTACACTTGTATTTTCATGTATATGCTTCAAAGCTCAAAGAACAAAAGTAGGAAGGATTGCAAAGTTGTGCACCCATTATCTAAAACTTATCCAGGTAAGGGAAAGTGAGAAACATTGTTCTAGATGTGGGTTTGTATATTGGGTAATGATAATGCACAAATGTGATGTTTTACTAGTACCACATGCATGATAATATATAGTTTATGTTTATTTTATATATGCATTATAATCATATTTATTTTTAATTGTTATGAATGAGCTAATATGATGATTTGTTACTATTTATGTTATATCTTATTTTATGTGTTATTTGTGTTTGACTAGTCGATTTGCATTCCTGCAATATGAGCCTTTCTTTTGTGTTGTTTTCTTGTGGTTGTTGTTGATGATCATCAACATGGTTCTTGCGTTTGACTAGTCTATTTTCATTCCTGCAACGTGAGCCAAAGTAAGATGTTTCTCACTTCCTTTCATTTTGTGTTGTTTTCTTGTAGTTTTTTTTAAGTGATCATCAACATGGTGTTAAGGATGTTGGTGGTGAAACCTAGACCTCAACGTTAGGTTTTGCTTTGATAGGTCACGTGACACCGAATATCAGTTAAGCCTAGTCATGATTTAATTATATTAATTAAATTGAGTAATTGATTTTATTTATCTTGTAATTTGTTATTATTCCAACTAAGTCTAATTTATGTTAAATTGTGATCCTCTCTACCTATATGAATTGAGTTCATTTAATATATCAAGGTTATTCAATTTATATTATATTATGTGTTATGACATGTGGGATAAAGGATGTCACATCTCTCCTCCCACATAATATTGTATAAAATACAAAACTAACTTTTTTTACAATCTCATTATATATTTAACATCTTTTTTTTCTTCCTTTTATTCTTGTACTACCTTTTTCCCCTCAATGATATTTTTTAATTGTAAAAAATATATTGAGAAAGCATAATTAATCATGCTTTTATAATAACTAAAGTGTCAAACATATACTAATTAATCTCTATTAAAAATTTGTGAGTTAGTGATGAGAATAAATTAGGTCTTAAATGAGATTTATGACCTAATTTCTTTAAAGTTTGATATGGTATAACATATTTAATAAAAAAAAACTAAGTTTAAACTTTAAAAAAAGTCTATTTATATAAAAATGTTATATTTAGATTTATAAAAAAAGCTTGCTAGGTCTGATGTATAATATAATAAAAATTAATATATATATATATATATGTATATATATTATTAAAAAATAAATAAGCAAATAAATTTATAAAACAAGAACAGATGATCAATATTTAAAATAATGTTTTATACAATTATTATTTTTTATTATAGGCTTATAAACTTAAAATCTGTATGTGAGTGTACGTCAATGTATATCAATATATATGACTAAACATGAATTGTCCCCCTAATAAAAGATGATTCACTTTTTTTCTTATATTTCATTTTAAAATTTTAATTTTAATAATATTAAATAAATTATCAATATTTAAAATATTTTTTTATACAATTTTTTTTTCATTATAAATTTATAAGTTTAAGATATGTACATGAGTGTATATCAACATATATGGTTAATTGGTTATGTATGAATTGTCTCTTTAACAAAAGAATGATTCATTTTTTCTCTTATATCTCTTTTAAATTTTAAAATTTATTAATATTAAGTAAATTATATTTAAAAATAAATTTTTTAATTTTAAAAAAATTAAATTTATTAACCTAATTAATATTATTAATATAAATATATTTTTAAATAAGTTAATAGATTATCATACCTATTAAAAAAATTTATGATAATTTATTTCATATTAAAAATTCAAATTATACGCAACAAAGTTAGATATACAACACCTATCACTTTGAGAAGTGAGAACTAGTGATTGTATAATAAACATCTACATGAACATATATCTATCTATATAAGCTAATTGAAACTATCAGCGATTTTGAAATAACCAGATCAAATGTTTATTTTATTCTGCGGGCTATCCCCACCGTACATTCAAATAGTGCTGAGCCATATATAACACTCATCCTTGTATTCTGTTTTTCATTGATCAAGATTTATTGTCTTTTCTTAATACTTTATCATTTCAATTCCAAGTTGACTTTTTTGAAAGGCACCCCCTAAGCTTTATTCTGAGAAAGTATACAGAAGGTGTAAGTACTCTGAACTTATGTTTCCTTGCTCAGTTTTCTTTAAAGTACACAGTACCATATAATGTGATTAATGTCGAAATATTCCCTAATCATGCAGACCAATCTCCTCTTTGAATTTTCTTGCTTTGTGCAGCAATTTTAGAGATATGTTATTTTCATGTGCCACCTTTTTAGTGACTGGCTGGGAAAGTCAGTTAAGTCACAATCACAGTTTTGAGACAATAACCTAAGGTTTTCATCACTGAAAAGAATAATAAATAAGTAAAGACAATAACCTATGTTGTATGGTTGATCGATGTGCTGGCCACCGTGCGTATCAACATGAAATTAGGTATTGTCTTTCGTTTTGTTTCATCTGATGAAATATAAACACAAACAAAAAGTTGAATAATATAAGACATAACAGATGACACTTGATTAAAGAAAATAATTAATTGAGAAAGGTTTGCATTTGTATTTTTTAAGGGTATATTTAGATAATTAGATTTGGATGACAAGATAAAGGAGGATAAATTTTTTATTTTATTAAAATCTTGTTAATCTATTACTTTATGTCTTTAATTTTTTAAAAAATAGAGAATATTTATGATAAATGAAATTTTGTCTTCAATTTTCTTTCCCTCTAAAATGCTAGTCTTTTAACATAACCTAAGAAGGACAATTCTTACTGTTAAGATCTGCACAATATGCATTCTATTAGTTATTAAGCAAATAATTCATTATCACTTAAAGGAGAGCTCTCGTATTACACCCTTCCAAGGCCAGTTAGACTGTTTCATGGAATATATAACCTCAAAAAACTAAAGGGAAAATTTAAATAAAGGTTACCTATAATTGAAAGAAATAGAAGGAAATCCAAACAGGCATTCAAAAACAAAATGATTATTCAAACCCCGCTGCAACGTAGAATTTCTGGTAATTGAAGAAGCTTTCTCACGGTCTTGATCCATGCATATTGTGAGAGGAAGAGAATTCAGATAAACTTTGTATTTTGTGTATCACTTGGAAGGGAAATCCTGGTCTTTGAGGGAAGGGCTTTTGCTGCTGTTGGGTGAGTTGAGAGGTCTATGAGTCATCATAGCCAAGCTGAAAGAGTGGTTGAGAGAACTCGTTAATGGATTTTGAGAAGCTGAACTCAACATCTGATAATGGTTAATTTGTCTCGGATCCATGTCCATTGCTGTAACATGTGAAGAGAAATATGGCTGTGTTGCTCCTGGAGGACAAAGCAGAATTTGAGAATTCCCAGTTGATAAAGACAATGCTGATGTTGGGAAAGGCACAACATTAATGCCATGTGTGTCTGTTTGGTTTGAAAATCCATTGTTTCCCAACTGATGATGAGAAACATCACCACCAGAAGGTTCCCATTGATAACCGTGTGGCATGGTATTCAGTAAGCCCATTAATGAAGGGTGACTTGCTCTTGGTGAGAGATTATTTGGTATAACATTCGCAGTACCAGGACCTTCATTATTGCTTCCTTGCCTATCCTCTTCACTTCTATTTATCCAACTTAATGCTTTCTCAGGGCTAACCATTTCTCCTGAAACTTCTTTAGGCTTCAGTTTCCAGAAAGAATTTTGACTTGAACCTTCCCACTGAATGCTCCTATTGATATTAAGAAGTTGTTCATTAGGCTGAGAATGAGAGGTGGTAGCTTCATTAGAAGTAACAGCAGATGGATAACCAAGGGTGAAGTTATTCACTGAAGGAATATTGGGAAGTGGTGGAAGTTCATCAATTTCATGCTTAGCTGCATTGAGCAACCAATCAACAACTTTGCTAGGTTGACTGAGCCCTAGCCTATCTTGAAGATCATAGAGTTGGATGGCGGTTGGTACTGATAGCCTCACCCTCCTGTCTCTTAACCCTCTTATTGTGCAAACCTTGCTATGTCTGTCTTTCCCTCCAAAGGCTCGAGACACTCGCACAATCCTTGGATCCTTCAGTCTTGGCCATTGTGCTGCTGAGCTTGATGAAGCCTTTGCCTTTTCATGATCACTTGAGTTAGAATGATGGCCCTCTTGTTTTAATGAAAAATCTGCTTCTTTTGGGCTCTTAATCATGATCTTATGCCTCTCATTGTGGGTTGCTAGGTGAGTTTTGTCGTCCTTCCACTTTATGGTTGTCAAAATTCTGTTCCAAGGTACTATCAACAATGAAACTGCTAGATTTTAAGTCCATTGTTTGGATTTTCCTGGTTGTCTCTCGATCCTAGGTATCTGCATCGAGAAACACAAGAAATAAAAAAAAGGAAATTGGGAGAAGCTGTTTCTTCATGAAATTTACTCAAATTTAAAGGTGTTGAATAAATTCATAAATAATTAATATTGTCTCCCTTTGGAAGTGGATATGAAGAACAGATGACTTCATCACACACAGATCGCTGACTTGCAGAATCTAATGGATATTATTAAATAATATCATATAATTCAGTTGTGATTTGAGGGGATTAAAGAATATTAATAGAATAACTTAAAGAATTAATATTTAATGCAGTTAGTAAATAACTCTAAAATCATTTAGAAATCAGAAGCAAAGCTATGTATCATATAATTCATACATAAAAAAAACTGCAAAAGGTTACCATAGGCAGGAAAGGCTTACATGGTACAGTAGTGAAACAATATATTTAAAATAAGATACAATATTCAATTAAGTCCAGATCCAAACACATGTAATTAAACTTGAATATTCAAATTGAATACAAACCCTAGTTATAGTTGATCATCTGGCAAACTCACATGAACACCTACCACTTTTGAAACTAAGCACCACAAGGTAGAAGGATGAAGTTTGCACTGAGCTTTTGCATACCAAACTAGAACAAAATTTGAAGTTCCAATTGAGCTTGGCTTGGCTTTATTGCATATATAAACTTAGAGTAGAAATTGGAGCCCGCAGCTTGGAAAAGGAAGATGCCAGAATTGAACTAACCACGCCGCACTGAAAGATAAAGCAATGGCGCATAGTTTGCCACGTGGCACACGTCCTTATTGCTCAAATAAATATGGTAGTCTAAGTCTTATCATTTCATGGTTAGGCATAATGGGTAATCATTTCCTTTATTATAGTAGTTATTTATGGATGATTATCCTGATATTTTGTTCTTACAAACCTTGAGTACAGAAATTAAGCAACTTTCCGAACAATAATTGATTACTTTTTTAAAAATTACTTTAATATACGTACTATGTAGTTTTGTTAAAAATGGTAAGAGGCTTGACTTCTGTACAAAAAAAAATTCTCTATATATGTATGGGTCTTAATTAACTTAAAAAAAACGTTACTCGTATTAGTACAAAGGCTTAATGATCGAATAAACACAGTTATAACCTCAAAAGGGGACCATTGCTACACGCTTCGAAAAACGGCTGGTTACACTTTATCGACAACTACGAAAGGTTTTGTGACTGAGCACATCACATGGGGATCCGCGGAAGCAGCTAGGCAAAGCAGCATCAAGGAAAATGTTGTTCTTATTAAGAGCATAGTCTTGTTAACAATGATGTCTGATTTACGGACATTTTAACAGTCCAATCACTTAACTCTCTTTATTTCTTTTTATCTTTTTCTTATCGCATCACATTACCAACTATATCAATTATATGTCTTTCGTCTCTTCTTATCTCTGTTGGTGTAGATATACACCAAGGTGTCCATAGATATTTTTCCTTAACTAATAGAGCAACGACGCATGGATACCTGTACATGAAGTATATACATCTAAATGATAGTATTCTTTGTTTTTCTTTATTGCTCTCACATCATATCACTCGTCAATTATATGCATTTCTCCCTTTTATTTCTATCTCTCTTTAGATGTCTTGCAGGTAGCTGCATGTATGTGTCTATACGCATCATTTTCCTAGGTAATACGTGCATCTCTTAATTTATTAATACATAAGAAGTTTTCTGCAAAAATATTCTTAATTTAGACTCTTCAACATGAAAAGCTTTCCAAGGACTTGAGACTTTTGAGAGCATCAAACGCATTGATCAATCAAAATTTGACCAAACAACTGCAATAACAACTAAACACTTTTTGCTAAGTGGAGTTAGTTATACTCTTATATTTACTTGAATTAAATAAATTCATAATGTTTTTGTATAAACAAGACATTGATCATGACATGCAAATCCTTATGATTTCACACCAACCATGTATAGAATTTGATTCTTCCTGTTTCAAACTAAAATGAAAAGGTAAAAAAGGAAGAAAAAAAAAAGAGATAAAACAGAAAGACATCACATGGAGAGGATTTAGAAGACAAACAGAGAAATCCACTTTAGATATATAACTAATGGCAAGACTTAAAAGTTGTGGTGCCATGTCCAAGGTTATTGTCATGTCTATGTGTATGATAGGTACTTCGGAGAAGGGAAAGGCAGTGGTAGGTGAGGGACCAATTATGTATGATATCTTTTGAAACGACACCCACTGTAGCACAAACAGGACCACACAATACTTTTGCAGAGAGATATGCATGAGAGGCAAGTTGAGGCTTTTCATTGAGCTGACACTGACACGGTTATTAGCCCCATGACGCATGCTTTCTTCAAAAGAAAGTCAATTAATCATGTGTTTGTGTGCGAGATGCAGAAACGTAAGCCAAGTTTCTTCTCTTCTTCATTTGGCAAAGACAGAAAATATTCGTTCACCTTTCGAATTGGTTTAGCCTTCGATTCAAAACCCTAAAATTGCCCCCACAAAACACCATATTTGATCTGGTAACTGATATGATGAAGAACATGATGATCAATCATCAGAATTTTCATTATCATTGTTTAACGTGTATAATTTCATCCGAACAAACAAGGAGAAACTCTGAAAAATGTAGCCACCAATCTGATTTTTCCTTAATGAATTGTGTTATTCAACGATAAATGGTTGATAAAACTAGGGTTTTTGGAGAAGTTCTTAAATGGCCAAAACGAAATATCTTCATGTTTGCATATCTTTGAAATGTAAAAGCGTGAAAAGATAAAAAAGAAGTCTAATATTCCAAAAGATACAATGTTCTTTAATTTCCAAGAAAAAAAAGGAGTGGGCCTTCTTTAATTCTACAAAAGGAACAAAGGCAAGTGACTCTATGGCTCCAATTTCTTTTCATGACACATACACATTACAGGATAAGTGATGTATACCCTTGTAAACCTAAAATGCTGATGAAGAACTACATCAGCCGTTGAAGGCTAAAGTCCTTCCAAAACATTTTGAAACCAGTTGTAAGTTTGTTCCGTTTAAAAGGGAAATGATTTAAAATAGTAATAAAACTAAAGAAGAAATTAAGTAAATATTATTGTTTCATGCATCATGAAGAAAAAGAAACAACTAATAAACTACAATTATTTGATAAAGAGGAGGATAAAAGGTCATCCATGCAGTTTTGCAGTCCAGAGAGCATAATGATCATTTTATACCCTTCATTTATTTGAAAACACAAAATATAACAATGAAAAAGGATAAGAAGTATGAAGAAAACGGACAAGAATATGAACAAAAGGATGAAGGTAAAAAGAAAGATACAAACGAAGTTTCTACTTGTTTCTGAAAGGAGAAAGGAAAAGGATTATATATACATTCTTTAAACTGTAATAATGGAGGGTTCCTTTGTTATCCATCAAGGAGCATCTGAGACTACAAGAGACTCTGAACAAGCAGTATCGTGCATCTCTAGCAGAAAACGATAAACAGACTAATAACTGATTTGCAGGTAAGGGTAAAACTACGATCCAAAATATGGTCCCCAGATTCGTTACAGAAACCCTAGGTCAGACTCAGAGCTTGTGACTAATCACTCTCACTTTTGTGAATCGCCAGAATGCATCAGAAGCAGCAGTACTGTCTGTCTGTACTGCAACATTATCTTTTTGTCTTTGTTAAGTTTTAGCTTCAATTAATTTTGTAGGCCAGTTTAAGCTCACAAAAATTAAATGAGTTTTAACTCAATATAGTTCGTGAGTCGTGACCAATTTGCAATAGTAGTATAACCACAAAAATTATTCATGCACACATCCATTTGTCAATCTATACCCAGAGAAAAAGTGATAGAAGGGAAACAAGCATAAATATAACCGGTGATTGTTGGAAATAATATTAGAAAATAAAGAGATTTTCATTATTTTTGGACACCTTGAAGTGTAGAAATGTTGAAAGATATGGAAGAGATATAAGATAAATAGTTGATTATATAATATTACAATAAGAAAGAAATAATGAGAAATAAGAGGCACATCAAAAATATTTGACACCCCGTCAAAGACATAAAAGGAATGAAGAGTATTAATTGAGTACGTATTGTATGAGTGTCTATATCAATATTTTAAAAAGAGAAAATAGGTTATGCAGAATATAATTTTTTTACAATATTATCTAATTACAAATTATTTATATGATAAATTTATTGATTTTTATAATAATTATTTTAAAAATTATTTTATCAATAATAATTTTTAGGCTTAAACATTAATTTGGTCCCTTATATTAATTGTTTGTTTCAATTTAGTCCCATTTTAATTTTTGGTTTCAATTTCGTCCCAAACTAATTAATTGGTTTCAATTTAGTCCCAAATTAATTAATTGGTTTCAATGTGAGACTTTCGTCTAAATTATTTAAACGGGGTTAACTTTTAGCCACGTAGATGCATATGTGGATGCCAATTTTTTTTTAAAACACCTGGACCCAGAACGACCCGTTCTGAAACCAGAACGCGCTGTTTTGGTTGCACTTTTGGTGTTTTAGTTTTGCATCCGGAACGGCCCGTTCCAGGTGCAAAATTAACACACCAAAAGTGTATCAGAACGGGTCGTTCTGAAACCAGAACGACTGTTCTAGTTTCAGAACGGGCCGTTCTGGATTCAGAACGGGCCGTTCCAAAACTGAGAATAGTGCCTTCATTGTATTTTTGATAATTATGCAATTTTGATCCCTAAGGTTTTAATTGAGTAATTTCAGTCTTTAAAAGATTATAGTTGTGTAATTTTAGTCTCACCATTTTTAATTGAATAATTTTAATCTCTCAAATATCATGATTGTGCAATTTTAGTCTTTCTTATTAAAAATATAATAATTTTAAAATTTTAATATATATATATATATAATGTTTTAAAACTATATAATTGTTTGCTTATTTAAATTAACATATATTATAATTTTTTGTAATGTATCAAATGATATATATTTATTATTACTAAATAAATAAAATTTATATATTATTAATATTTTAATATTACTAATAAATTAATATCAATAATAA